TCTATTGTGCATCCTAATAAACTTATCTGGGGTCAGAGAACAGAACAGCCACTAGATAGACATAGAGACCAGAAAATGGTGGCACACACACCTTTAATCCTAGCATTCTGGAGGCAAAGATCCATCTGGATCTCTGTGAGTTCAAAGGAACACTGGAAACAGCCAGGCATGGTGACTCACGCCTTTAATCTCAGGAAGTGATGGCAGAAAGGTATATAAGACTTGAGGACCTGGAACTAGAGCCTGGTTAATCTTTTAGGCTTCTAGCAACAGTTCAGTTGAGATTCATTCCGGATGAGGACTCAGAGGCTTCCAGTCTGAGGAAACAGGATCAGCTAAAGAACTGGCAAGGTTAGGTAGCTGTGGCTTGTTCTGCTTCTCTGATCTTCCAGCGTTCACCCCAATACCTGGCTTCAGGTTTTTTCTTATTAATAAGACCGTTTAAGATTCCTGCTATAATAGTCCTATATTTTTTCTCAGATTTGCTTTAATTTTGTCCCATAAATTTTGGCATTTTTAATTTTCATTGAGTTCTAGAAATCTTTCCTTCTTGATTCTTCTTTAATCTAATTATTACTTGATAGTTTTCTGTTTAATCTCCAGAAATTTGTGCTCTTTTCTGTAGTTTCTATTGCTGTTAATATACAGCTTTTATTCCATTGCAATCACATAGAATGCAAGATATTACTTCAATTTTTCTAGATTTGTTGGGAGGGGAAGAGATAATGGAAGAGCAAGAAGTAGTGGACAGTATTTAACAGACAGGACTATGCCATTACATACATGAAGTCACTGTGTCTGTGTCTGCAGACACTACACAAAACCAGACCAGATAAAATTCCATAAAGGTGGGGAGAGGAACTCATGAAGTCTCATCCATAGCTGAGAAGCTATTGGTAATTTATGGCTTTTTGGAGAGTGGGAGTCAAGTTTTCTTCAGGGATGAGGCCCCTGAAAGGATACTCATGCCCCAGTAGATATCCTACACTCAGGCACATACCTATGTGGACACTAAGTGAACACAGAGTTTTGTTTTCTTAGAAGACATAAAGTTGGGAGGGAAAAGTTGTGGGATGATAAGGGTAGAAGAGAGGAAAGTTTTGATCAAAATGAACTATATGCATGACTAAAATTCTCAAATAATAAAGAGAAAGTTTTTTAAAAACCCACAAAAATGAAACTCCTTCTACTCCTAGCACAATGGCCAAGAAAATCTCAGCTCAGACTATAGAAAACTAGTGGAGATTTCCAAAGAATTAATAAAAATCAGGAAATATTAACATTACAAACTAAATCTGGAAGAAAATCAAAATGAACGAAAAAATTAAAGAAAGAAAAAAAAAGAGCCCAAAGAAACATGTTCTATGCTCCAGGACCTCATTAGAAAAATCCCTATACTGGGAAACTCCAGGACAAACAACAAGCAGTGGCAATAGAATGTCTTCGGGTCAGTAATCGTGTCATACTGTTGTTTTCAGCTGTGATCTCATATGGTACTTAAAGATTTTTAAAAGAATTTCTACAACATCATATCATAAAATGTAAAAAACAAAATTAGAAAGACTCTCCCAACTAAAAACACCCAGGCCAGATAGATTCAGCACAGAATTCCACCAGACTTTCAAAGAAGAATTAACACTAATACTCCTCAAGTTGTTCTATAAAATAGAAAAGGAAGGAACACTTCCAAATTTGTTTTACTAAACCAGCATTTCCCTGATACCAAAACCAGTCAAAAACCCAACAAAAAAGGGAAGTATATAGGCCAATCTCTCTGACGAACATAAACACAAAAATTTCCATTAAAATATTTGCAAGCCAAATTCAAGACCACATCCAAAAGATAATTTGACTTCATCCCAGAGAAGCAGGGATGGTTTGATACATGTAAATCAGTAGATTTAATCCACCACAGAGACTCAAGGAGAGAAACCTCATGAGCAGCTCATTAGATGCCAAAAATGCCTTTAAGAAAATCCAACATCTCTTCATGATAGAAGTCCTGCAGAATCTAGGGATAGAGGGTTGATATCTCAACCTAATAATGACAATATATAAGTCCCCTGTCAACTGGTCTGAGGTCACAATTGTAATTCAAACAAAAATTATGTGAATGTTAAGTTTATATTTGTAAAGTCAAGGTTTTTCTACAGAACTTCTGCCTTTCCTATTTGATAGCTACAGAATTACATTGGCATTATAGGCAGGGTGATAATCCTACAGATGTTGCAACTGGGTTAAGGGAAAGTTATTTGTTAATATACTTTGTAAGAATACACTCACATATGCAGCATACACACACGCACACACTACAAGCCCACAACAAACATCATGATAAATGGAGAAATACTGAAATAATTTCTTCTAAAATAAAGAACAAGACAAGAATGGCCACTCTTTCTATTCTTCTTCAATAAAGTCCTTAAAGTCCTTGGTGGAGCAATGAAACAAAGCGATAAAGGGGATACATATAGGAAAGATAGAAGTCTAATACACCCATTTGAAGATATGATTCTACACATAAAAGATCCTAAAGACTCCACAGGAAAACTAGAGCTGAAAAATACATTCAGCAATGTTGTAGGATACAAAATTAAAAATCAACATCTCTAGTTTTCCTTTATATAGATGAAAAACATATCAAGAAACCATAAAAACAATCCATTTACAATAGGACAAAAATATCTTGGAATAAATCTAATCAAGGAAGTTAAAGACTTGTACAATGAAAACTTTACACACTGAAGAAAGAAATGAAAGACAATACCAGAAGACGGAAAGACCTCTCATGCTCATAGTCTAGTAAGATTAATAAGGTGAAAATGGCCATCGTACTAAAAGTAAACTATGTATTCAATGCAATCCCTATCAAAATTCCAATGCAATTTTTCACAGAAACTGAAAAAAATCTCTATTAATATAGTAACACTACTGGAGGTATCAACATCCCAGATTTTAAATTACGCTACAGAGCTATAGTAACAAAAACAGCATTGCACTGGCAGGAAAACACACATTGATCAATGGAATAGAATTGAGGACTCACATACAAGCCTGTGCTCCCATGGCCATTGTTTTTTTGTATATAATTTATTTATTTTATTTTAAATGCATTGATGTTTTGCCTGCAAGTATGTTTGAATCAGATTCCCTGGAAGAGGAGTTATGGACAACTGTGAGCTGCCATGTGGGGGCTGGGAATTGAACCCAGGTCCTATGGAAGAGCAGCCAGTGCTCTTAACCACTGAGCCATTTCTCCAGCCCACCAGGCCACTCCTTCAGCCCAGTAATTGGTTCTGGTAATTTACAAAACTTAAGATACATAACCAAATAAATATGTGCTGTGTTAGTGGAGAGAACTTTGGAAATGACTGTTTTCATCAAGTCTGGGACTTAGCCACATCTACCATGTAGGCCCCAGTTGAAGCAAAATACTACCAATACCAAATGTATCTTATGTCTGGAAATTAGAGATAATAATACCTGGCAGGCCATTGTGAGTATTAAATGTGATAATATATGAAGTATCTAGTGCTTAATAGTTTCTCAATAAATTTGTCTCTTTCCCATTCAAAAGTAAACATTAAAACAACCTAGGTGACATAGACCTGTGCTCAAATCTACCATTTCTTTTAACGAAAATGATGAAATTACATATTGGAGAAAAGACCAATGTTAAAAAATGGTGCTAGTCAACTTGGATGGCTTTTAGAAGACAGTAATTAGATGCTTTAATCTCACCCTTTACAAAACTCAACTTCAAATGGATCAAGGAACTCAACATAAGACCACATCCCCTCAAATTGCTAGAAGAAAAAATCAGGGAATACACTTCAAGTTATAGGCACTAGAAAGAATAGGGATTTCTTTTTTAGCTACCTATTGACATAGCCAGATTGCAGGATTATACAGCACTTCATCTTTTATCTGCAAAAAGTAATAAGGAGATGTAGAGTGCATACAACCACACATTCCTTAAGTCCTGATGTCCCCAGGAAGCTCATATTTTCCCACCTTTCAATGTTCTCCTGTTTTCTTATGGTGTTATTTCTAGGGATTTTTAAAAATATAAGAGGGAGGCAGACAAAATATGGAATCAGTCCATTTTTGCAGAATTAGAGATTTTATTCTTTATTATTTTTGTTTTTAAAATGTTTGCTAAGTGAATGAATGCTAAGTGTTGATGGGATTTAAAGAATACCATCATTTGTAATTCTTCTAGAAGATTAAAACATATCTGGCCAGCTAGATATAGTTGCATCAATGCATATGTTATACAGAGTTACATGACATTTATGCAATATAAAGTGTTAAAACTGTTAAAGTAGAAATAGTTCAGTATGAAGCCTCCCTCTGTCCTGGAATGGTTGAAGTCTCCGATCATTCCAGGCTTCTTTTGAAGCAGCAGGACCTCTGTCTACTGTGGCTCCTAGGGCCATGCTTGCTGCACAGAAGAGGGATCAGGTGAGCAGAGAGCTGTATTCCAATAGTGAAGATGAATGCTGCCTGATCCAGTGAATCCTGTGACTGGCCTTTGGAAGATTCAGGTGTGTACTGAACTCATGAGTGTGGGCAGGAGGCTGTGCTGTCTGAAAACGCACTGACCACCTCCTGGGGACAATGAGGATCTTTGGACATGTTTCTGCTGCTACACCTTCAGAATGGGGTTCAGGAGTGACAGACAGAGAACAAGGCACATTCTGTGCAAATCCAGAGAGACCAGAGAAACAACTGTGAAGTGCAGGGGCTACTGAAGGTGACACAGCCATGCCACCTCATGAAAGAAGACCTCTTTGCCAATCTGTTTGAATCTTGTGTACAGAGATCATTTTGCATCTACATTCTACAAAGCAGAAAGAAAATATTGTGAAAATCTGTCTTTATTGATACTGTTATTCCAATGCCAACGATATAGAGAAACATAATTTTCCCCTCAGAAGTGACTGAGTTGTGACAGCAAACAGCCCATCTCCATGTGGCTCCTGGACGAGGATGGCATCCTAGGGCTCCTCCACATCCTTCATGGAAATGTGGTCCTGGATCCCAGGTGGTGCACTCCTGAGCATCACTTTCTTTTCACTGGCCCTCTGTTTGGCTCTCTTGTTGTTAAACCAAGTCTGAAAGCAGAGGAGAATGGGAAATGTCTCAGCATGCTGGGTACTTTGATGCAAAGAGGCACATCATAGGGACACTGGCATTCTGAACTGCACAGCAGCAGCTGTTTTCCAAATACTCAGCCACCCAGGGCAGAAGCAGGCAGGGTGTGTTCAGTGTAGGAGGTCATGGCTAGACTCTAGTTAACGCTGCCTTCTTCACAGGAAACTGAAAACAGCACCAGCAATTACTATTTCTGAAAAGTCATAGCATGCCTGCTCCTTCAGATCACACAGGGAGAGCAGCAGCCCTGTGCTAAGATCTGGAAGAGACTCGGTGCAAGACAAGTGCACATTTAATGTGATTCCCAAGATGCGCTTTTACGGGTATCTTATTCACCGATGCTGGGTCATCTCTAATGAATTAACTGGTTTTGACTGTTCCATCCCTTAGACAAGGTTTCAAGGGCATTAATCCTTGCCCTCTTCCACTGCCCTTGGGACAGTTTGGACAATGTGTTAGGGTGGAGGCAACATCTGAATTGAAAACAATCCCCCAGATTAAAATTGAGTGCTGGTATCTCATGCACACTCACAGAGGAGGAGGAGCAACCACTTGGACTATGAAGCTCTATTCCCACATCAGTCTCGTCATATCATGCATTAGTTGCTCCATGTGGGTTCTATGGGTAAATAATTCACTCGCCCAGATAGCTAGTAGGTTGTCCTTTAGCTAAGTGTGCACAACTTATTTTTAGTAAATTAATGCAACTGAATCCTTTGATAGCCCTGTTTGATCCTGCATCAGCTTGAGTCTCTACAGCCACATCCTCAGCCCCAACATACCCACAGAAGGTTCTTGTAAAGGACAATGGTGGTGAAGGAATTAAACATGAATACTGGGTAAATAGCCATGCACTCACAGGTATGTGTTCTACATGTACATAATTATAGAGCCCTTGCTGTGTAAAGACCTTGGCTTTGCACACAGAACATGAGCAGCATGTGGTTGCTTTGGGTTCCTGTTTCCACCAGGAAGTCACTTTCCTTCCAGGAACAGGCAAGAAGCACTAGCTGAAGTATAGTTTCTCCCCCTTCCAATCAGGAAGCCAGTGACTGCCATCATAGGAAAGACAGCAATCATACACCTGTTAGGATCTTGTATATGCACAGCGTCTTACATCATCAGTGGGCACTGGAGACTACGTACCCACCACGTGGTCACGCAATTCCCACCTTAGAAAGCTGGATGCTAACCCCCACCTTCTCTTTCTTTGCTCTCTGTTCTCTGCTCCGCTCTGCTCTCTCCCCCCAAGGCCTGGCTCCCCTCTCTCTCCCTCCTTTCCCTTCTAATAAAGCCCTCTGTAACTCTGAGGTCATGGCTCCTGACTTTTCTGCCAGTAACCAGCTCTGCCACCAACATCATTCATCCTTTAAAGACCTACTGAAAAAGACCCAGGACAACTGGTCCAAGACCTGAAGTGCTCCAGATGGACTTCCCCACCCCATGCTTTCTCAGATTTACTGACCTGCACTTTTGCTTCAGGCACATTCATGTTTCTGGCAAGCACCTGTCTGTGTAGAGAAAGCCACAGAGATCAGTAGTCAAGGTTATGAGAAACATCACAGGCTGGAAACAATGTGTACTTGTGACAATCTTTGTCTTCCTGCTAAACTTCTCAAGGACTTGTCGCTGATAAAGCCAGGCATGGTTTTCAAAGGTTTCACATCATCACAACATTTAAAGTGTTGTGTTGTACATTGATGGTCAAGATGACTCTAATTAGCTTATACAAATAATTTCAATGCAGTATTTTATACATGAGCACAAAAACAGAAGTCTATGGTGGAGACTTATGTAAATTTTAAGCATAAGAATATGTAGGAAATATGTAGGAAATATGTGAAAGGCTAAATGATGACAGGATCTTATTCTCCTGACTCTGTTTCCTCTAAATTTTGTTTAGTACCTAATGTGAAGACCAGGAAGGAGTGGGGGTGGGGTGAGGTGTGGAGGGGGAGAAAATGAGATAAAATAGAGCATATCAAAAATATAATCTTCCATGCATCACAGGACACAACCAAGAGTGTGTAGCCAGAACTGACAGTGGAGACCTGTAATTCCAGCTACTTGGGAATCTAAGGCAGAAGGGTCACAATATAAGGCCTGAGTGGGCTCTAGTTTAAGTTCAAGGTCACCCTAAGGAAGGTAGAGAGACCTTATCTCAATCAATAAGAGGAGGCTCATAGCCAAGGCAAGGGGCCTCAGATTTATATTCCCAGTACTTGAACACCAGAGAGAGATTAGCCTCAAGAACAAGAATAGCTTGGTTTACATTGGGAGATCCATTTCAGCAAGGACTCCAAAGGAAGTCCATTTTTAAAGAAACCAAACACCCCTTTAGTATCAATGAAGAAATGGGTGGCTGTGGCCATAGATTTAGTGGACTGCCTGTGGAGCATACACATTCCCTGCCTTCAACCCTCACCACAGACAAACAAAAGTGACAAAGACAACCACAATGTTAGAAAATGTTTGGAAAGAACACAGTCACAATCTCTTACCCAGTGTAGTAGCTAACACAATCAAGAGGTGAGGACATAGAGAAAACAGGAGCTTCTAGACTGTGGGTGGAAATATCTACTCATGCACTAGGTGAGGAAAAGCATTGCTTACAAAAAGACTCAATCCAGTAACTCCATTTCAGAGTTTACATAGCCAAGACCAGAAGCCTAGAGCTGAAGAGGGTTTCTGTCAGCCCAGGTAACATCAACCCCACTCCCATAACCACAAGGCAATAACAACCCTGAACTCCTCAGAGAAGAGATTCTAAACAAAGACAGGGTATGTTGATACAGTAGTGTGAGATTCAGACCCAAAAAGATCTGAAAACCAGCAGAAACTACAGCTGAGAAGCCCGAGAACTATAACAAATCAGTCAAAAAAGGACATTGACTTCTGTCAGAGGCGGCCTTTAGAGCACTACTGTTTACACCAGGAGGGAAGAAGACATCAGCTTCTGGGATGGAAGAAGTAGGGAATTTTGATACAGTTGGTCAAGAGGAATGGACTTCTAGAGCTCTGTCAGACAAATCATAACATTGCAGAATTCTAAAGCATCAGAATAGTTTGAGTTCCTACATGATTTTCATTCACCCATGTTGCACCATGTTTGAGAACCGAGATAAAGAAGGACATGAGCAGTAAGCACACTGGTCTCATGCCACCATTGCATGAAAACACTAACCTTGATTCAAACACTGAGCTCGATGCCACAAAGCAACTTCCCCATACCCATCATGGGGTAGAAGCTACCTGTGGTTTGGAAATGAATGGGGAGGACAGGGCCCAGAAGGGGTAAAGGCCAGGTCAATATGAACACTAGCCCCTGGAGGCCAGGGTGCCTCCTGGTGCCAGCCACGTACCTTGTGAGCACATCTGGGTACTGGGTTTATCAGAAATTGTCTCCATTTCCTGTACCTGCCACTGTGTGAAGTGGAACTGGATTTGGTGCCTGCTGTTCTGGTGCCTTGGAACCCTGCTGGGCTCCTCTGGGTCTGCCTCCATGGCAACCTGGTTGCTGTGGTCACCTTCAGGACCCAGGCACATGTGGCCTCCTTGGTTGAGGTTGCCTTGTTGGTTCTCACTGTCGTCCAGGCTTAGGGCCCCTTCATAGACCCTGCCACCTGATTCAGGTGCTCCCTCCAGTTCACGGTGGGGGTCCACTGTCTTCCTCATAGTCCTCCAGATGATAGTAGAAGTTGTCGTTGTAATTGTGGAGGTGCTCCATGGCTACTGCTCCTCAGAAGCCTAGTGACCAGCACCCTCCCTGAGGTGTTTGGCAGGAGCCTTAACCTGGGGGCTTTCAGCAAGTTGTTGCCACAAAGGTTCAGGCTCTCCTATTTCAAGATTGCTATTGGCTTTCTGTGTGCTTCCTACATTAGTGGATGAGTCTCTGAAGTGAGAATGGGCTAGGTCATAGCCAAAGCATGGGGTGGCAGAAGGACACTGAAACTTACTTTTAGGAGACCTGCTCAGATCTGGCAGCCTGCCCTGGCCCATGCTGTTGGACCTCACAGAACACCTTGGGAATGGGGCTATGGGAGATTGCACACTTATTTTAGCATGGAGAGTGGGGAACGGGGGAAAACTCACAATGAGCACATGAGGCTTGGGGGAAGACTGGAGAATTTTTCATCATCCCAGACCCCACATTTCCAAGTCTCTATGACACATGAGATGAACATTGAGTGGACAGGGTCAGCTCTGGGTGTGTCTGCTTCAAGAGTCTTCAACAACTCTGAAAGCAGAGGCCAGTCCTGGACCTCCACCTTCAGCAGTGGCATTTTAGTCCCATGTTTACAGTGTGTTGTGCAGCACTGCAAAAAAGCCAGTTCAACCCTTGGAAAAGTTAACAGACTCCAGACAGCCAGTGAAGAATCTGCATTAGAATGCTTATAGAAGGTCCTGTCCAGTGCTTCTCAGCTCTGCAAGATCAGACACTGCACCAACAGCACTCTTTGTGTTGCAGTACAAACTGCTGAGGGCTGAGGGTGCATTCTCACAATAACCTGGGCAGAGTAAGTGCCTCAGACTCTGGAAGGCCATAAACAGGGGAGAGGTTGTGTGCACTTCTTGTGGTAGAGCCAATGCTCTCATTGATGGTGTTTCAGAGTGCTGGGGTTGGGGTGGGGTGTTAATAGGACCTGAGAGAGAAAATGCAGTGTTGTCCTTTGGTTTGTTTCTTCGTTTTGTGTTTGTGACGGTCTCTCATGTATCCCAGGGAAGCCTGAACCTCACATGTCCCATACTGTGTACAACAGGATGACTAGTGCTGTACTTCCTTGTGTTATACCCTCCCACTGGTCACAGGAGTGCATAGAAATGTCTGATTTTTCTTTAAATAACTAATTACTTAAAAAAAGAGGTATTAGACCTGGAGGTCTAGCTGTGTATAGAGCTGCAGCATGGCTGGACAGCCTCCAGGAATTCTAAATATATTGTAGGGCAAACACCTCAACTT